ATACGGTCGGCCTGTAATTGAAATGACGGTTCCTAGATGAGTGAAGAAAGTTACCTCTTTCAAGTTTATTTTGTTGATAATGATTAGTGCTTGATGTTTTTGTTAGATGGTTATCTTCATCACCTCTGTCTTCTCTATGTTCACTTGAAATTTCTTCTTCGCTGCTGCTTCAACCGGTTTGTTGGTTTTCGCCTGTAAGTCTTCGAGTTTGCGTGACAATGGGCATAAGTCAACCTCGAAATCCAGACTCTTTTTATCATTTCAGTGTACTCCTACCCAAAATGTGGCGCATAATCCAGTCCACCACAATCAGGAATATCATCTTCGCTGATTGTAGGTAACCAGCCTTGTCCAAATTCTGTATTAACTTCAAAAGGCTTCTCTGAGTTTTCCAATATGGATCACCTGACACGTGCCCCTCACAGAAACGATTTGTTATTTGAGCAGATACATGAATGACACAACTATGAGCATCAGAATACAAACCTCATATCTAAGAGTTGCTGTTGAGATGAACATTTAACATACAATTCACCTTCAAGGACGATGCTTACAGACGGAAAGATGGAATTACCAAGGGCCCTGATGTTGACCCACTTTTGACAGACAGCTTAATGGACAGTTTGAAGAATGGGATATCAAAATCAATAATCGACGAAACACTGCTGAACAAATGGTATGTCGACCACACCTTTGTAGTTTGTGATGATGGTTCAGATTTAAATTGTATCTTAAAGGAATTTAACAATTGACATCCTTCAATTAAATCCACGACAGAATTAGAAAATGAACCAAAGTTTTCATTTCTTTCTGGATGAAGAATTGATAATAGATGATGGGACTCTGAAAAGATCTATCCACAGAAAGTCATTAGGCGATGGGAAACTTACAAACTTTTATAGATCAATACCTGTGAGTCATAAAAGAGCTGCCGTCATCTCACTTGCTCACTTTATCAAGAGAATCTGCAGCACTGAATGCTTAGAAGAAGAGTTTTTATTTCCCATCGACATTCCAGCTCAAAATTGATATCTGCCACGTTTTGTGAAGCCAAGAGATGGAGGTAGTTTAGTGCCAAAGAAAATAATGAATATGAACCTGGACTTCAGAGGCAGATATCTTAAGGAGTAGAATTTCTAATTACCTTTCCTGCAGCAACATTAAGAATGATATTTTCCAGCGGCCCGTTGCTTCAAAGCAGTGTGGTAAAGACAAACTCCCGCATATGACTAATCCAATGTGTGTATATCAATTCAACTACCCCTGTGAAGCTAGGTACATAGGTTGTTCTGTACACGTCGTTTCAAATCATGTTAGTGAAAGCTAACCAGACATCACTGGTTCAATCGTAAGAGCTATAACTGAACACTTTGTGAGCATCTGTCACAGCATTTCAACTAATCATTCAAAGTCATTTACCAACTGAAAAGAAATTTACCAAAGGCAATAACTATTCGAATACTGTGTACTACAGAAGCCATCGTCATAGGTTCAGAAGAAATTAGTCCAACCTCTACATCTGCTATGGATCTATTTCGGTTTAACTCCTTTCTATGCCACTTATAATCTATATTCACACCTTCGAACTTTCATATCAATTTAAAAATCACTGTCACCCTTAACTTCCCTTCGTTACCATGTTAAATTAAATAATAGTTGCACTATGTAAACTTATGTATAAAAATCCGAATGAACACCTTATGAGGATGGCATAGCCGGAAAGATATTCTTGCTCAACTTCTTGTTGGTTCTTTTCTTATGAGTATAACTACGAACGTTCCATTGTCCTTCTGGACAACATCTTCAGTGCTAACTTCAAAAAGCTGAGAAGTTTCGAAGCTCTATATGGATGAAATATCCTCCTTTGCTGGTGCGAATTAACGTCGATTGCTTGTCTCTGGAAATCATAGTCAAGTTCACCAGAAAAGATAGATATTTTATCCCAGGAGTGAATAAATTTATCATTCTATGCATGTATATTCATTTTTATCAATGCATATCAGCAGTGTGCTGTTTCCAAATATCTTATACACAATCGGTTTACATAGTACTTGTATTTCTGTAAGTGCTCAAGTCTTCAGTATACATATATAGTCTACATATACAACATATACTACGATAATCTCTGCGTAATAATCATCTTAGCATTCAACGTTATCAATCATCTGTAGGTAAGCATCATACTACTCTGAAACTTGTCAGTAGTTGAAAGCTGTTTACTAAATAAATTATACACATCAAATAATTTAGTACAAGCCACTCTGTTAGATGATTGAACGCAATCTGTAGGAAGCCTTGGACCAACTAGATTTGAGGCTGATTGGCGCTTACCAGTCAGCAAGGCGAACCTGCAATAAAGAAAGAAACTCATGTATCTTCTTAGATTCAAACCTGTGTCACTCAGTGGACTGCAGTTAGTTACGTTACAGAGGAGGTATTCGGGATAGAGACTGACTTCCTGTAGAACTGCAGTGGATACTTTGATTGGATACTAGTTAGCAATTAGTGAAATTTGTCTAGTCCTTTGTTTGGTGTAGACTGAATTCTAAAAGGAGGTCAACTGCGAGCTCGAATATCTGCTCAATGGTAACGTCTGTGATTCACTGCAGAACACTGAGTGACACGGCGCAAGTTTTAGCACAAAACGAACTGATTTGAGTTCTCCATGAATGCTAGAATTATGTCTCCTGGTAACCATCTTCGTGACTGGTAGTCAATTTGTGTGCAGTTGTGTTAATCTGACATGTATGGTTTATTTGCGAAGCTTTCATTGCCTAACCAGGCAACATTTTCGATGCATACTTCAATTGGAAGTCAGCTTTTACGTTTCTCCATGAGTTTATTAGTCATTCCTCCCGGTAACCTTGAACGTGACTGGTCGTTTTCGTGTGTTTTCTCCAATCACGTTCAAGGTTACAAAGATAGATGGTTAATAAACTCGTGGAGAAATTTAAGAGATCACTTCAAATTGAAGCATGCGCTGACGATGTTGCCGAGTAAGGCAAAGAAAGCTTCGCAAATAAACCATCCAACTCAGAGAAAACAATTGTAAATATAACTATAAAATCCTCAGTATCGAACAAGTACTTTGCAGTCTAGTCAGTAGGCTAAAATAATCACTAACAAAACAATGCATATCTCTAGGTCAGTGTATTCTTGACTAATAGAATTTCAACCTTTAGTGCTAAATTATAGCAGTCTATATGTTGCTGAAAAAGTCACCAGAAAGCCTGAAGAAAATAATAAAAAATGAGGGTTGATAATACTATCCCAGTTGCCTTGCAAGAAGTAGGTGGCACGGGATCTGAATTTCGAACTAACTGACTGAAAGTCATGTCCTTGAACTGATAACCTACATCTTGAAATTTCTAAGTTACACATAGTATATGTGAGAATGATACAGTTTTTCTCCGTGAACAGTAGTTCACTCGACCACACTCTCAACCAATTCAATCGAAGCGACAATTAGTCATCAGCCCAGTTTGGTATTATCAACTGTTTCCACTGCAGCAGCATCAGAGCATTTAACTCTTGTTGCAAAATAGACTTTATCAAATTGGAGAACAAGTGAAAATTGAGAAACAGCATATCACGGTAGTTGTTTTGTCCTACTCTGAATGTCTCCAGCCCGGGAGAAAAGTAGCCAGATTTTAAGCTGGACCACATTACTCTTCACGCGTTTATCCATGGAGTGATATAAGTGGGAGCTCCATTAAAAATCAGGGAGTACTGGACAGGTGTTTCATTCTAGTTTGCGAATCATCAGCAGTACGCACCCACTGGGGTTCGAACCCACGATCTTCCGGTTACAAGGCAAGCTGGCTCGTATATCATTCAGTCACTTGGACATTACTCTTCAGCCAAATCTACCACTGTCCTCGAATCCTCCCCCACTTGACGACTCCAACAGATTGCAAAATCTCTGTTAAAACCCGTATATCTTCCATTCGACCTAATTAGTTTTTACACGATCCCGTCCACCCCGTGCCCACCCCACCCGAAAAATTAAAAAATAGCTACATACAATTCTCCAAACTCATTTTTTTCAAAAATGAAAACTTGAACAAGAGGTCAAGAAAATTAGGAGAGAAAAAAACAAATTCACATAAATAAATCAAGGAACATAATGCATAAACACATAAATATATAAATATCTAAAAAAAAACATTTCTGAGAAAAATTATAATATCACATTTAAAAATTTCGACAAAAGTGAGAAAAAGAAAATCAAAAATACAAGAGGGATTTCTTCAAAGTCAAAAGACGCGCACAAACTCAAGGTCAAAGCTGACCAATTAAAAAACACCAATGATCCACGAAATGTAAACACACTACTCATTGAAACATTGAAGTGTTTAAAATTAAATAATACTAAGGAATATAGAAATATGGTAAATAAATAAGTGAATACAAGAGAAGTGACTGAGACTTTTGAAAATAAAAGCATAGCATCAAAAAGAAAAAACCATATGATACAATGAAATTCAATGTTAGCGACAGGTCATTGGAGAAAAGCAATATTGTAGGTAGAATAGGTCACAAATGAAATAGCACATCTTGATAACGATATAAAGTAGAGCAAGAAAGGTTAAAATAAAGGTAATAACTAAATAGAAATTGAGATTCTACAACACTGTGGCATCGTTGGTACTGTGTTTGTTGTGTTACACTGACCCACTCTCACACACAATTCTTCCCAGAGAATGACAGCAAAGGTAACAGCGGGAATTCATACAAATAAAACAGGAGAGTAAAAGCACTAGGCTAATATGTTGAAATTAACACTGGCCACGTGTGGGTGTGTTTGGAATTCATAGGACGAAAATGAAAATTTTTGAAAAATAGCGTAAACTACTTAAATATTGGAAATCAGTAGTATGTATATATCAACTCATAGTATTTGTTTGTTTGTCAGTTGATAATAATAAATTATTCATTTTTTTCTTAAAAAAAGAGCTGATAATTTAAGAAAATAATTCAAATAAAATAATTTAAATTAAGCTAACAGATAAACATTACACTGATCATTTCCTGTGAATCTGGATAGCGCTGAAGTCAAATCAGTAATATAATGATCGGATGACGATATAGAGAATGTAATAAGAGAGGTAATTGAAACTTTCGAAAAGAAAAGTATGTATATCTATAAATGACCGATATGCATTCGACTCTTGCCTTCACACACACATCCAACACATGAGAAGTCACCTAGATAAAATGATGGGAAAAAAAGTAGAAATGAAATTGTTTTCATGATTTATTTCATTATAAAGAGAAATTGATTAGTAAAGGATTGAACAGAGTGTGTATTGAACTCACCTGAAACTTTTCAGCAATAGTATGAACTGAACACTATATCATCTGTTGGACGGTGACTAGCTGTGGAGTTCAGGAAACGCGCATTTCACCCTCCTATTTGAGACTCGTCAGATAGATGTACCCGCATTCCCCAGTGAGTCAGTGAGGCTCGAACCAAGTACCCATCGTTTTCAACTACATAGCGTTATACATTAGACCGCTTGATCCAAGAGAGGCAACCTCTTGTGCAACGGGTATAAGTTATTTGTGATGGGTAGTGGATTCCAGCTTCAGAGGGGGGGAACACCACCAGGAAGTCTACACCTTCCTACGTCACTGGCTTAAACTAACTGTTGTGGATTTCATTGACTGATGAAACCATGTTTTGGCTTGACCACCACTGGCTCTTTCCCAGCCTGACCCTATATCACCTAACATTGCCCGTCGAGGAAGGCAATGACTAGGCATACGTAACACATGTCCTAACCATCTCAGTCGATGTAATTTCCCAGTCTCAGGTAGAGCATTGATGTTTTAGCAGCAGAGGTGTGGTTGGGTTGTTAACTTCACGCCAAACCTTCCCTTTTTACCATTCTTTTTGTGGCTTAGCGAGGTGAAGGATTTTGTCGGCTGGGGATCGAACCCCGAACCACATGAGGTGCGATTGGAGAGCATTCTACCAGCGAACGACCGGGGCACACAAACTAGTAAATAACACAGTGAAAATTTAAGATAAACATTCGGAACTACTTACAAACTATTAAAGTAGACTGAACACGTTGGTTCAATTAACAGTTTTTTTTAACAAAATACAAATGATACCAGACAACAATTCAAGATAGAAAATTCATTCCGCATGACTCAACTGAATTTCGTGTGGGATGAAATCTGATCAGAAGACAATCTCTTAATTACTTAGTGTCGTATCAGTCAAGGGAAAGCTTTTCCTGATAACACACACTATAGTTCTAAACAACATAAATTATGTATATGAAGAAAAATCACAAAAAAACAACGTTTTTCTTCCATCTCTTTCAGTCAATAAACAGCATGTGGTTAAAAACATTGCGAATACTTATCAACGCAATGATGGGTGCCAAAACAAGATCAATAACTTCTATATATAACACTTAAGACTCGGAGCTTCTAATGTTTGGCATGCAATTCTCTCCTTCTGTCAAATGTAAGATGATGCTAGAAGACTGAAATGGCCTACACCGACTCACTCCTAGCTAAAAATTGGAAAGGGAGTGAAGTAGTTCGTGGAGCGTGTTAACCACTTCACTTATATGGAATTTTGTATCATCCCCATCAACAGGTTGATCACTGACGAAATCTCATCACGGATACAGAAGGCTTGTTTAGCATTTCCCAACAACTTACGCCATCTCTGACTTAATTAGTAGACGTGATATCCGATTGACTATCGATTAAAGGAAGCGTGTACTGCTCAGAAGTCACTTTACTCCGTCCTCCTGTATAGTTGGCTGTGAGTGAAACACAAGTCCCATTGAAAGTGGAAGACATAAAAAGCCTGGTTAGCTAGCTGTCTTTGATCATAGGTACCTAAGTTATATCTCCCGTTTGTGTTAGGTGGAATAATAGGCTGGGTGAGTATTATTGAGGTTATGCTTCGGTCGAGTGTTAGATAAGGAGGGAAAATTAATCAACAAGGTTGTCAAGTTACATGGATTGAGAGAGATGGCTAGAACATGTGTTACGCATACCTAGTCTAGCCTATACGTCAATGTTCTTCCTCGACAACGGGCAATGTTAGATGACTAACATAGGATGGATCAGTTTGGAGAAGAGCTAGCACGTGGTGGTCTAACGAAAACATGGTTTCATCAGTCAATCAAATCCATAACAGTTAGTCTAAGCCAACCAGCCAGCCAGCCATGTAGGGAGGGAAGTGTAGACTGACTGGTTGGTTGGGGTCCTCATGATGGTAAGAACCAATGACGGCGGTTGGAGGCAGTTGGTGATATGACTCAAAATCCTCGTTGTCAATGACAGCGCAGATCCATTCACTCTTTGTCATTTGTCATATCCAATAGAAATCTATTGTTCTTCCATATTAGTATTCTTTTCCCCCTAACTCACATTTCTGTTTATTATCTTCCTTTTGAATCCTTCTAAACTCTCTTCTCTTGCTTTGTGTAATACATGGAGGGGGAGTAGCAAACTCGACCAACAACACTTCTGTGCAGAGTTCTACTTTGAAACCAGTCAGTCATTCAGTTACGCCGTCTCTGGCTTAGTAGACGTGATATCCGGCTGGCTATCGACCAAAGGGCGTGTATACTGCTCATCAGTCCGCTCCGTCATCGTTTATGGCTGTGAGACCTGGCCATTGAGAGCAGAAGACATGAAAAGATTAGCTGTCTTCGATCATAGGTGTCTGCGCTCTATCTCCCGTGTGAAGTGGTATAATAAGGTGAGCAATATTGAGGTTAGGCCTCAGTCAAGTGCTAGGTAAGGAGGGGAAACCAATCTACGAGGCCGTAAAATTACATCGACTGAGATGGTTGGGACATGTGTTACGTATGCCTAGTCATCGCCTTGCCCGAAGGGCAATTTTAGCTGACATAGAGTCAGGCCGGAAAAGGGCTAGCGGCGGTCAAACGAAAACATGGCTTCATCAGTCAATGAAATCTACAACAGTCAGTTTAAGCCACGTAGGAAGGTGTAGACTTCCTGACTGGTTGGAGTCCACGGGACAGTAAAAACCAATGAAGGCTGAAAACAATTGGTGATATGGCTCAAAATCGTTCTCAATGATTGGAGCAGATGCATCCACTCCTTGTGACTTATAATTTCCAATGAAACTATATTGTTCTTCGTTACTACTATTCCTTTGTCCCACACCTCTGTTTATTGTCTATATTATGCATTTCTTCTACTTTCTTCTCTTGCTTTGTGTGTTACAAGGAGTGGAGTGTGGCGACTTGAACTGCTGCACATTGGTGCAAAGTTCCATGTCGAAAACAGACAGACAGTCATTCAGTCAAATCTCAACGTAAAGCGTACATACATACAGGAAAACCAATTGCTTTTCGCTCTGAAATATGATTTTTTTATCAGTATAAAGAGTCTGATTGAATATTCTCAAACAAAGCATTACTTATAAATCAGTCTACTGTCTGTCTGGATTCAACATAGAACCTGGCACCGAAGTGCAGCTGTTCGAGTTGCCACGTTCCAAATGGAACACAAAGGTAGACAAGAAAATGAGTGAAGAGAATCAATAGAGTTTTGACAAGTATAAGAGTGAAACAGAATGAGTAATGGTAGAAAGAAATATGAAAGATTACCCAAGAGACTGAATACATCTGCGTAAGCCATTGACAACAATTTTGAG